ACGAAAATATTGATATTTAAAAAAATTGTAAAAAACCAGCCATTTGACTTAAATAAGTGTTTTTACCRTATACATTTTTCTAAAAATCAGATTTACAAATTGGCTATTTCAAAAAAATTTTTTATCAATTTTTAAGTTTTTATTTTCAGTATTAAAATATAAAAAATAAAAAATGTATTCYAAAAATGTAGCGCAAGTGTCTATGAATTATATTTAAAAGAAATTTTTTTAAAATATTGATTAGAACAAAAGTTATTTCATTTGTCAGAATATCAGATCTCTGTGTAACACCCTGTATATGTAACGGCAGCGTGGTGGTATAATGTTGTGCACCAATATTTTGTGTCACTATGGTAGGGTATGAACAACGGGCTGGGAGGGGGTCATAGATCATTTTCCGTGTCCCTAACTATATGAATCATATTGTGATACTTTATTTGCAACTAGCAAGTTTTGTAGAATAAATTGGAATAGTGTAGTAATATTAAAGTGTGTTTCATACAAATACATAACATTCTACGTATTTTATACCTTACATGTTTTCATTTTCAACAATATAATGATCACAAATTGTTGTAACGAGTTTTTTTTTTTATAAACCAAGTTAATAAATAATTGACCGACCTTTCTTGACGAGGAAAAAATATATAAAGAGATTCCCAATTGATGAGTTATTGTATGTAATGTTTGAGTATCTTGCAGAATTTGATAGAAACAGTCATCATTTAATTTTTGTATACTATATGTTTTTCAATGGCTTACTATTCTAAAAATGGTAAAATACTGAGTAAGGCATAAATATTTCAAAATAAGCGAATTACTAAACAGAATATTATCACCCTCATGCGAGTGGCGAGACAATATTAAATACCATACAGTGATGATTTTCTTCTCTATTTCGTAAAATTAAGCGTGTTAGCCAAGTTACTGGATATTAACGATTTACACACACAATATATATTATCTTCTAGTGGCTTTATGTTGKATTTCAATGATTTACGATAAACCAATCATTCCTAACACGCATTTAGAAACACCAGCAGATAAGTTAGACAGTATATTTCTCAAATAGAACCTTGTACAAGATGAAATGGGTYGCTGGTTATTATTACTATATCCTGAGTGTAGAGGAGGTTGTACAAGATATTTGATAGCCGCCTATTATCCGTCCACCTAGATAGTCGTAATTTCTTAATAGCTGAACCGATTGGAAACCCACAAGAACTGACCAAAAGAGAAATAAAAACTTTCAGCTCTGCGTATAAGAGAAAAATATTGCGCCTATTGAGTATAGTAATATAAGTGATCAGCATTAGTGCTTTCGTCATTGAATTAGGGTCATAAATAAAATAGCAATAACAGCTTACTAATGTAATTGATAAAAATTAAAAAATTATTGTTTGGTATTATTATAAAACATTTTATATATAAAAAACGAATTTTAAATTATACCTTATCAATTGTATTTCCTTTACAGTTACATTATATAATAATAATCGTTTAGCCTAAAGAAAAAACTATCATATCATTTGAGATAATTTTAAGTCTGTGTTAAAATAATGTTTAATATTACTATTGAAGCAGATGTCTCACTATTTTTATCCTTCGTCTATTATATTATATAATTTATAAGTTATTATACTAAAGAATTATTAAACAGTTTATTTTATGTTAGGTAACTATATAGTTAGGCGTATGTTTATTATAGTTATGCAGAATTATAAAGTAGTTTTATTAATGAAAATAAATAAGCAAAATATGTTACTATTTATTGAAAATGTATAGTTATTGAACATTCATGAAAAATTTCCAACATTTACCTCATTGGCATATCAAAATAATTTGTGTAAATTCTAGATTATTTTATTAATATTAACTAAAAATTTGTGTACTGTATTATATTTTTTGTTAATATTAAATTTGTTTATTTGTGTCTTATGTTAAACAGGCATTATGAAACTCAGCGTCACCTCGTTTCGAGCTCACTCTTCAGCTCAGAAAAAAATATTAAAATATCAAAATCAGCTCAACTACGTCACATCTCATTGTCCTATTATACCAAGTATTGATTCACAATCCTCATCGGTAAGTTCTCATTTATGATGTTTTTTTTTATTATTATTATAAAGTGTATCTGACATACATGAATTTAAGATAAATTTTGTATCCGATTATATATTGAATTATCCTGAGATGTTAATTTGAAAAAAACAATATACCTAGATTATTATAAAGACAGGTGAATAAATATAGTGTCTTAAATTTTAAAATAAACTAATAGATCAGAGGTAAGTTTATTTATTGTTGATATCAAAGTCACTGCATAATGGACCATCAATATAAATTTAAAATTAAATTTAACAGTTTACAATGATGGTCWGTTTTTATCAACGCTATAAAACACCCTAAACATAATCATCATAATTAGAAAAGAATCATTATAAAAAGTTTTTGTYTTAATTTTTGCCTGTGAAATTTATAACGAATTCATTGAATTTGGGTACTATATAGCTACGCTGTACACTTTGTAGATTAAATTGAAGATTAATTTTTTTCATATAATATCTTTATAACTATTGATAATTAATGTTAATCGTAATTAATATTAGTATCAAGCACATTGGTAGTTTAAGATAACTCGTTAGGTTGTAAATTATTTTGATATTTTTTCAATCAGGACAATTTTGAAGTAGTTTTTTGTTTTTAAGCATAATTAGTGATTAGTACAAAATTAACTTATATAGTTATGAGTTTATGACATACCTATAGGTACATTTATAATGATATTTAATATTTATATTTTATATATATATATATATATAAATAATTTACAATATTATATAATAGAATTGTATGAATATAGGTACTAAGCAATATTGCAACAATTGTTCGTCTTATATTCAAACATTATTTAAAAATAATAGCGTAAAGAGTCAACCACAGAATAGTCATCATTAAAGCCGATACACAGAAAATACGAATAGTTGTGGTGAAACTGCAATTGGACTTTATACTGTTGTCTTTGAAAGAATTAATTAAAAAAAAAAAAACAGTTAGAGTATTTACTCTGTGAAAGAAATAATAGTTATATTAAGCCATAATAAAAGAGTGTCGTAGAAGACAAATGTGATAAACTGCAAACGACTGAGGTCTGAGATACGAACTGACGTGTCCACACAACTTTGACCTTTTATTTTTTAATTAAATGTATCTACCTATATAATAGTGGCTTGGTGAGGTGCGGTCATACACTCAATCTGCGGAAACGCACTGAGCGTACGTATACCAGCCGCAGTTGCTAGCTCCCGGATGGGTGACCACCCGGGAGTTTTAGCATTGCAGCATGTCCTTGCCACACATACACAAACACGTGTTACAACCCTACCAACTTAAACACCTACAAACAAATACACAAAAATAAC